CATACTACAAACCACATCTAATTAATCCTAGCACTACTCCTTTTGGAGTCAAGCAAAGCTACGACAGTCGAGTGGCCGGATGAGCTACGCAGAAGTTTACCGAAGATCAGGAACCTATACCTGACAAAGAAATCAAATTGGTGTATACTAGCTCGTAGAAACGATATTGTATTGGAAATCAGTTTATACTAGCTCGTAAAAACGATATTGGATATTTGAAGGTTGTCCCCATAGCAGCGATATCGTGTAGGTTTAAATGGTCTTTGTCTAATGCTTGCAAAACTCGCTGGCTTTCTTTTTGATCTAGAATCACTATTATCCTATGATTAACATATGCGTTACTTTCATTGCAAAAAGATCAATCATTTCATGATTGTTATTTATTGGAGAAAATGACCGAAGAGTGGTAAAATAATGGCTATTATTATAGCCAATTGGGTACCAGGCTCTTTTTCAATACAAATGAACTACCAGAAATTCTTACCTCCTCAAGCTTACAACAATTCTAAACTTATTCTAATCTATTCTTCGATAGGTTATCCGCCCACCATCTTCTGAAATAATGCTGGCCGTGCTGGGTGCTGAATAAGGTCTTTTCGTTCCGAAGTAACGCTAGTCCGTGCATAATACGTCCCGTGAGTGCTGGAATAACGCTGATAAGTAAACCTAATAAGTTCTGATCTACTCCTGAAAATGCCTAGAAAAAGAACACGGTGCTGAATTAGTGTCAGTCATGCTAAAGATCAGCACTTAGTTCTAGTTTGCGCCATTAAAAAATCCATTTCAGAACAGATTCAGAATTTACTCACTATAGAATGTTAGAATTATTTCAGAATTAGTGAGATTTAATTCAGAATTATAGTATGCTTTGTTCCTCTTCTCCATTGTTTGCTGATGATATTAAGATAAGTATAACTGTAATTAATAATAATGATCGGTCGGTATTGCAAAACGATCTAGATAAATCAGCTGAATAGGCTAACTTGTGAAAATTAATTCCGAGAAAAGAGTGTCAGTGCATTTAGGTCAGAGGTCTTAACCGCTCTACTTCCTCGGGGCGAAAGAGAACTTCCAGATGTTAAAGGGCAAAAAGACTTAGGAATTATTGTAAGTCATGACTTAAAAACAACGGCAAATTGAAAAAAGGGCTAGAGCTAAGGCTTTTCGAAAGCTATTAGCACAACGAAGTGCTTTAAAACGATTAGATGAGTCTATTTTCACAGTACTCCATGCAACTTACATCAGGCCTCATAAAGAATACTGCATACAAGCAACGAGTTCATGCTTGAAGAAGGAGGCACATATCCTGAAAAACGTAAAGAAGGTAGGAATCGAATTAGTTAGTGGTGTCTCGCAACTAACGATAAGACGATGGAGCATTAAAATCTCTTCCCATTTTCATTCCGAAGGATGAGAAGCAATTTAATTTTCGCATAACGTATATTAAAGGGTGAATTAGGAATTGAATTTTGTAATTTTTTTTCCCCCTTTAGGACACATTTACGAGGTCACTGCAGAAAGGTGCTCAAACCTAGGTCGAATAAAATACATGTGGAGTTTAGATTCTCTCGTAGAGTGGTCAACGACTGGAATCCTCTTCCTGATTCAGTAGGTACAGCTCCATCGGTGAACACTTTCAAAGAGAAATTAAATCTTTGCAGAGATATATACCGCAGGGATAAACATAGACAACAAGAGCTCTATATCCTTATTATCTGAATCACCCAATAGGTTGCTGAAAATCTTTTTGCAAGGCTTTTCGCCTATTCTCTTTAGAGCTTTGTTTAACTGGGTTGTTACCCTAAGTGTTATTATTACTGGAGGGTCCTTAGGATTCCTTTATTTTCCTTTTTCACGTCTCTTCACCACTGTCAAATATCGATATCAATAAAACCATCTAAAGATGCAGTTTTCCTCAGAGTACAATCGTTTCTTTTACCTGTTTAGTTAAATAAATACATCATAGGTCTAGAAGTCGTAATCTGCATTTGCCTGTCTCGCAGATACTTTTTTGTACTTAGATTTTTCATTTCTAAAAGTAAAATGCGGGAGTGGTACTTAATTTGACTGAATATATATAGATATATAGATATATAATGCGGATAATATTTACATTAGTGGCACCCCATCAGATGCAGACCATAGGTCACTAGTTATCTTATTTTTCTCAACGCACTGCCAACAGAAAGAAGTTTATTTTTAGAGTATTTAGACTGCAGTACAACTAAATTAATAACTAACTGATTACTGATAAATCCATGTCTTACCAACTCGGTGAATCAATGGGGCAAAACTGCTCACGAAGAAATATTGCCTATGCCCCTCACTTATCGGAAATGAGCATTAATATTTGCTAGAATAATCTCTAAGTGTGGAAGAGAGTAGCCTTTTATTGGCTAAATGTTCCGATTTCTCGCCTGCATGTCTGAAACCACAGCTTAGTAACTATATAAAGTGTTTTAATAAAATGACAAGTGGTTCAGTATGACAAGTACTAATCAGGCTTTGTGATAACATGTAACTCTATACTAATATTTAGTAAATAAACCTGCTTTGATGTGTGGTTTACTCAAGGAAACCCATTTAAATAGATAAATATTTTCTTAATTGAATAGGTGTGTTCTCCACACAGTCTTGTTGTTCCGAGTTTTCAAATTTTCCTCATTGTCTAATTGTATATACTCATAATCACCTCTTTATATATCATCAGTAATTGTCCTATAATTAAACCATTACACTTAACTTTCAGAAACGAAGTAAACCTATCTATAAGGATTAAATTATATGCCTAACAGTTACAATAACGAGTCCTTTCTCATATTATAAGTATCCCACGCAAATATCATAGCCCTTCATGTTGACCTTTTAGGACCTAGTTGAATTCACTGTTGTGTACTAACTCATGTTTTCCACAATAACTGGGAAGACGGTATGGTTCTGTAGCTTATCTTTATAGTTTAGGTGATAACTAGAAAGTAAGTAGAAATGTGATAGTAACTGACTTACTTTGCAAAGGGAGTCTATTAAACTGGGGAAGTAAATTTCAAATGAACGAAATAATGGTTAGTTTAGCACGACGTTTCGTTCACTTGATTTCTTTATTTATTTAGACTTGTACTTTGGCAGCTTAGGCACTAATCTATCTAGCAAAAGGGAAGTTTGTTCTAACTGTTCAAGACCTACTCCAGATTATTAGGCTGATTAGCTTCATATAAATTCAATAAAAATTATGATCTCACGAAATATTAATTTTATCCAGGCAGACTGAGTTGCGTTTACTCAAAGACTTAGTGAGATATGTCTATAAAACAAAACTTCTGAAACACGCGATAAGTAAATTGCGAAAAAAACACCTATATAATTATTTGGTTAGTTCTGACGATAACAGTATTCGTGGCTAGACTTAGTAAAATAGTTTCATTATAATACACAGAGCGATTACTGCAAGTTACAGGGAATCTTATTTGCTTAAATTTATTCAGTTATGAAAAGGTTGGTAGAGAAATATTTGCTAGATGAATATAAACACTGTTTATGAAGTACTGTTGTAACAACAGAAGACGAGGGTCAGGCAACAGATCGTTTATTAAGAAAATCAAAGCATATTTATATATTTTCATGTACATTATTATAGATTAGTTAAGTAAACAAACACAGTCTTCTGATTGGTTGTTTCTCACTTAAAGTTAATCTTTCATCTCTTGTGACTGTTTCTTGAATGTCAGATCATCTATATGTTAACTGTATCCGCCTACGCAAAGTCTGCTGTGGTCGGTTTTGAATCAGTCTTTGTTCATGTTTTCTCACGACAAATCTTGAGAACGTAAACATTGACGTAAATTACTGTCTACCAATTTGGCTAGTAGACAGCTCTCACCACACTGTTACTTTACTTAATATATCTGACTACTTTGATTTGACACTAGTAACTAGTGTGTGTGTGTGTGTGACTACTATTTCTATGTAATGTTGTTGTGAGTAAAGATAAAATTAACTGCCATTTTACTGCTATTGTCTTTCATTACATTGAAACTGCCCCAGTTGACTGTCTTTCAGTTTATTACCAAGCTAAAGTCAGCAGTGATTTTAAAAATACTTTCGTGTATATTAGGAAATTATTCTTGGAGAACAATAAAGTAGTCAAGGCTCAACACCCTTTGCAACAAACTTGCCGACAAAAGTCGTGCAACAATTAAGCACTTTAAGATAAGATTGCTGCACTTAGGTCATTTATTGTTAGTCTGGTTAAGTCAGGGAGGTATACGTTTGGGAACTAGCAATTTGCGAATGTAATAAATTAATTGTTGGAGGCATAGAGTAAGACAGCTTGAAATTGTTTACAATGGTGCAGTTGTGTTCTTATCCTTTTTCATACTTTAAAGTTCAGTAGGATTCATTTAATGATTTTGTTTTCTCATCCCCATGTTTGTGAACTGTAATACTATTATATCCCACTTTTGTTCACATTTCAAATGCAGAAACGTAAGCTGGTTCATTTCTGCATGAATTTCAACGTTATTTCTTCAATCATATTGTTCTGCTTCACATGTGAATGAAACCATCTATCGTTTGCTACGTACTTACTGATTATTTTTACGGTTATTATAATAACTACTTCTAGGTAGTGCTTATGAATACTGAAAGCTAGTTAATGTTGATTAATATGACACGGTCCGGGGTTCGATCCCCGACCGACGCACTCCTTTACCTCGCCAAGCCAGAAATAATGATGTTGAAGAGGAAAGGTTAGGCATGAGGCTAGCGACCCCATCCTGTAAAATAAACACTGCTACAGAAACTTCAAGCCACTAGCTTGAAGCCCTATGTTCCACTGGGGAACGTGAAAGAAAAAAAATATGACATAGAAATACCGCAAAAGACTCTCCTGAACTTTTGAACATGTGTTTTAATTAGTACTTTTGGGACTTTAGGTAGCATTATTCTATTTATTTAAAACCTCATTGTTGTAATATTCTTTGATATTTCCAGAGATCCTTAAAATGCATATGGATGCAGCCGAACTGAATACCAGTCTGGGAAGAGATGTGATTCTTCAATATGGCTTTGAGTTTATCAATAATACCCTGAAAAACGATTTGATACCTCAGCTACTTTTGGAGACGCTCAAAGATATTTATCAGAACGTTATTTCAAGCAAACACAGCCTTGATGTTATAGCTTTTAATAAAGTAATAACTTCACTGAATTTTATGTGTAGTAAAAATACTCCTATTTGAACTGTGGTCACGTTTACGCGGTGTACATTTTTTGTCTCTTGTTGCACTGCAGCTGTTTTCTGAAGCTAAACTATTGTTATTATTATCATTATTAATTCCTTCACGTTTCCAGTGGAACATAGGGCTTCAAGCTAGTGGCTTGAAGTTTCTGTAGCAGTGTTTATTTTACAGGATGGGGTCGCTAGCCTCATGCCCAACCTTTCCTCTTCACCGGCATTATTTCTGGCTTAGTAAGGTAAAGAAGTGCGTCGGCCAGGGATCGAACACCGGACCATGTGTATGGTCAGCGAGCGTCCTAACCGCTGTCCCACCAATGCGAAGCTGAACTACTGAACTGCATTATAGTTGAAAAGAAATGAAGCAAACTTAACAGACTTTAGCAAGTCTTCATCTTCAAGGATTATCTTTGATTTCCGGGCGTATGATAACTAGCGTAGCTATCAGTTTCTTAATGCCAATCAAAGTTTCCACTAGAGTCACTCAACTATGCGGAAAGTCGTTCCTTATATTCTGTCAGACCATTTAGCGTAAATGCCACTCATTGTATAAACTAAATTTTACAGAAATCCGTTGCCGCTGTTAAAATGAAATATAATTTCTCCTGCTAACGCAGTTAGGTGTTAAGTTTTCCATGAACGCCTCATTTCACATTGGAACATTTGAGCTGTGAATACAAGACTGTTTTGTGATTCTTGCGGCATGGTTCCTGTTTTTGACACAGAGCTGTAAAACAAAATCCGCATGAGTTCACCAACGCTATGTGTGAACAGTATTCGTAGCTTATGATATGACTGATCAATGTGGCACCCATTACGGTGGTGTTCTAAGTCATTTGGTACGTTTTTGGGCGTGGTTGATATTTTTATAGCCTATCCCAATTCACTTTTATATTTTACATTGTTGGGTGGAAAAATAAGGTTGAAGACCGGGACACCTGAAAGTTACACTGTGTATGAATACATACTTGAGTGACCTATCAATGGTGCAAATGAAGCGACCATCCTAATCTGAAGATATAAGGTGAAGTGGACATATTTACCGACATATAAAATTGTTTACTTTTAGAATGTGAAATAATTATTGAAAAAATCATTTCCTTTTCAATTAGATCCTCTTCTCTGGCTCTACTCTAATATATATAGCATTTTTACAATACACAACAATTTACCAAACAAGTGGTGATATGTTTGTTAACAATAATTAAACAGTGTCAAAATGTTTGGTAAATTGTTGTGTATTGTAAAAATGCTATATATATTAGAGTAGAGCCAGAGAAGAGGATCTAATTGAAAAGTAAATATTTATTTCGCTCAATCTTTCTGTTTTCCAAATGTCTAAATGGGGATATTTTCTATATTAAAATCATTTCCATTGTTAAATTTAATGTCAAAATGATTCCACAAAATTATAACAATTGTGATATTGTTTTTATTTTGGTCTCATTACCCTTAAATTAAAAACAGGAATTGGAGGATGAAACATTTGGTCATATCACACCGAAACTCGTCACTTCAAAGTTAAATAAAATTATTCAACCGGAAGAATCCAGTTGGACGAATGATTTCCGTGAGAATAATACCCAAAGGCCTTTTGAAACAAATCGTATTAATAAAGGACAAAGAACTGCTTGGTGCACAGTTCTAGCTGACAGAGCCATGAAAAATGCTCTGGCATTCGACATATTTGAAGATGTTCTAATGGACGTGTTCAAATATGTAATACCAAAAGGCGTAGGTAGATTACAAAAACCATTCTAATTCATTCCAGTCATTTAATATTTGATTTAAGTATAAAATTAATTTGGTTTCATTTTTCTTAAACGCGATATATTTAATCACATTAGCAATTAGCAATGTACAGAGTTCGAAAAAGTGAAATTTCACCACAGATTTTATTTGGAAATGGAAATTATTGACATCATTTTATGTGATCTGCTTGATATCACAATCAATAAAACGAGCATAAATTTGCAAGACTATGTACTTCTGATTGACTGAGATGAGTAGTAGCAGACCATCCACAGCAACCAGTAGTGCTTGCTAGCCAGATCGAAGTGGTGTAAATACCAAATGGCCATTTCCTTCTTTTTGGACCGAGCTAATCAGTGGTGTACCAGATCTGATCCAGCTTGAACAGCCGAATCAGTTCAAACAGCTCAATTTCTGCCTAGATCTGATACATAATTTACATATGAAAAATCACGGAATATACACATTTGATCATAGGGAATAAAAAGACAGTTGCAGCGAAGAAAATTTTTTTCGACGAAGTCATCATCTAGGCTGTACATTCGTGTATTTATATCAAATGGATGGAAAAGTTCCAGAATAATTTCCGGTTAAGGGTCAAATTAATAAAACTTACAATTAGGAATTAGAATGCCATAATAAACAGGGGGAAGGGTAGAACTCAAACAAAGTTGCATAATAACTAAGAAGATTGACATTGTGCAATTGGGGGTTAGAAATGTAGAAATAACAAAATATACAGGATGTTTGGATAAAAAACTAATGTGATGAATAATTGTTTATGCAATCAGGGATTAAATATGTAGAAATAGTAAAATGACAAAATAAACAGGAACTGTGGATATGAAAATATGGTAGTGTAGGCTGGGACTAAGAAAAAAAATAACATGAATAAACAGGAAGTTTAGACAAGAAAGGCGATGGGATGGTCATTATTAAAAAATTTTCCTGTTTACGATGGCCATAGCAGGGATAGGGGTTGGACGTATTTCTTTTGGATACAAAGAGTGGGTTTGAGCTTTTGGATAGCTAACGCCTCAGCTATGCCCAGATGTCTTGATTTCACTCCCTTTGATAGGTTTGATTGAATCTCGTATATTACTTTGAAGGACTTTTCGAAAGGCGCTGAATGTCCTGAGTTGACCAGATGTTCTGTCACTGAACTGTATACACGTTCTTGGTCTCCTTTTACTAGCCAGGCTGGGTAGTGTTCACGAGCGCGTTTTCCAAGTCGGCGCATGGTACGGCCGATGTACTCAGCTCCACAAGAGCAAGTAAACTGCCATATGCACGTTGAGGTGGCCCAATGCGACAGCTTGTCTTTCGCGTTCTGGTTGAACAGTTTCTTGCAGGAAAACGTCAGTCGTAGGCTTGCGGCGAAGTATGTTTTCCTCAGCGATTTGGAGAGGCGTTTGCGAAGGATTTCTGCTTCAATATCACCTTTGAATTCTAGATTAAGCAGAAGTATTTTCTTTGGGACGGATTGGACTTGTTCGGAAGTCTTCTTAGATTTGAGATTCTTGTCCATGAACCTGGGCAGAAAACCGTTTTCCATTAGGGTTTTTCGCAGATTACGCAGTTCTTCTTCAATCACTTCCTCGCTGCATATCTTCCGAATCAGAAAGAGGAACCTGATATACACTCTTTCCTTGACTCCATAACTGAAATCGACATTTTAAGTCAATGACTGCAGGGGTAGAATTGTTTACTCCCCATATCTGGATTTAGTTTAAGTTGCAGACGTGAAATAACCTCACTAGACAACCTGTTCAACCTTGGGCTGATTGCCGAACAATCTGAACTATCTAGTCTACTCTGACCTAGCCGAATTCTAATGTGGCTACGAATGTGTAAATATGATGTTTTTCCAAGCCTCTTATTTTCTTCGATTACAGCCCAACCAAATAGATAAAATGAAATCAAGGCATTATATACTACCACGTTTTAATGAAGCTGTGTCAAGATGCCCACTTTTTGCAGGCATGAGTTTATCTAGCCAGATGATCGTCTTCAACCTTACACAAGGTGGAATAAATAACTTGTATGGATCAAATAGCATGTATTTAGTCCATTTAAGACACACCGATAAGTTAATTGGTGAAAGTTTGACGTATCTAGCCTTTGGTTTCTTCTATTAATCCCTTAATGCCATATTTTTATCAGTTGATTTAAGCATCATCACTCATATGCACTTAGTGTCAAACATTGAAGATGGTTTTGTCGTATTAATCTGTATTGTTTTCCCAATATGTTTACTTTCTTTATTGTCTTCGTTCAGCAAGATTTAATTTCTAAGGTTTCTGTTCACCTCGATTAGATTCTACTTGTTTGAGTGTGTTCTTTGGTTTATGCTGAATTCTTATTTTCAAAACATGTGGCTCTTATCTGAGATAAGACAACAGATTTTCTTTTGTTTTCATGCTGTGATTGGTTGCATACAATAATCTTCTACTGCCCATTTTATTTTGCCTGCTTTAGTAATAGTTAGTGTAATGAAGATTCATCGTAGCTATTTTTTCCTTCACGTTCCCCAGTGGAACATAGGGCTTCAAGCTAGTGGCTTGAAGTTTCTGTAGCAGTGTTTATTTTACAGGATGGGGTCGCTAGCCTCATGCCCAACCTTTCCTCTTCACCGGCATTATTTCTGGCTTAGTGAGGTAAAGAAGTGCGTCGGCCGAGTATCGAACCCCGGACCATGTGCATGGTCGGCGAGCGTCCTAACCTCTATGCCACCGACGCTGGTGTCGCTACCAGGATCGTCGTAGCATTGCCTATTATTTCAATTGTCACTTTTATCAGGACAACACTGGTACTAGTATGGTTTCTAGCTCATCATGTGATCCTGAAATCAGTTGCTTAGACTTAAAACCTTCTGATTATCCAGTGTTTATTGCTAAAGATCATTTTAACCGGCAAATTACTCAATCTAGTTTGACTACTGAAGTGACATACTCAGAGTTACAATTAGTGAACAACAATCATTAGATTGTTTTTGGTAACCTTAGTTTAAGAGATTGACGTGTACTTGATGTGTTTTCAGTGGTGTACAAGTAAATCCTACTAGTTCTTCATGTTTCCTAATGTATCAGATATTATGATTTATCAATACGCCCAACGGAAAACCTAAAGGCACTCGTAGAGGTCCAAGAACGAATATTACAGGGAAAGCTAAATTTAGGAAGGAGTACTCACAAAAGACTATAATTAGCCAACTAAGACATAGTAAGTTAAACCACTATAGCGTCAATTGCATAGTGAAAGTTAATTATCTGAGAAGTGAAAATAGTGGGTATTATATAGTGGTGTATCATGACAAAGTCACTATACGACTACTATTAATGTAGTGGAAAATTAAAGCTGAGGTGAGCAACAACATGGTAACAGGCTTCGAACCAGTGGCTAGTAATCTGGAAGCTGCTGGTCCACATACTACGATAACTCAAATTCTCATTTTCCCATTTAATCATTAACCATTACATTAATAAACAGTAGTTCTAGCTTATCCACATCATTCGGGTAAATGCCAATGTACAGATAATTTATTGTTGTTGCTTTACTTTCTAAGCTTCAGATTTTATCTGCAGAGTTTTTGAGTCCAATCTAGGCTTAATCTTCAGTGAATCTCTCTGTAAATGTTGATTCAATATATTCTTCCTCAGAACTGAAGAAGAAAGTTGCTGGTTAGAATGGAAGATTACATTGTCGAAAATTGTTATTCCTCCTGGTTGTTTTGTCGATAAAATTCAACTCTCGAATTTCGATCATTGTATTTTTCATAACTTTTAATATGTTGCTTCGATTTCATTTTTTACATTAAAATAAAGGTGAAATGAATTCAATGTGGTTCTTGCATTGCTTTTTTTAAACAGACCTTCACTCTCAACTAACCATTTAGTTAGTTCACCAATAATATTCTCCTTGAATGAAACTGAAACATTCACAAAACTAATAACCTCAACAGCGTACACAAAAGATGATGCTCAGGTTCATATCAGTAAATCTGCGAGAGAAAACTCAACTTTAGATAAAGAAAGGACTCACTCAATCATTCACAACTAATAAATTCGTGTAAACCAATGACAATTTCTATCCATATAATCTTTAAGTAATTTATATTGTAAGTTAAACATTTCGTAATAGTAGACTGAAAGCATCTATCTCTAGAACATCAAGCTTAGATAACTATAAGCGGTCCAAAATTCATTCATTAGTGGAATATACATATATATTTATATATTGTAACAAGAGAATTCTAGGGGGAAGCTAGGAACACAGAAAGCAAAGAACAGATAGAAGTAATAATACCAATAAAAGATTTTAGTATTATTCTTTCAGTTTCACTTTTTCTCGGTAGGACACTGAGATAAAGAATGTCTCATAAGTCTGAGCAATTCTTATATTGATTTCCCTTTAAAAATTCAAATGAAAAAATAAGAGGATAGTTTGTAGAATTGTAACTGATTGTAAACAGTCTACATAAGTTGCATACTTTTGAATATGTAGAGGTTATAAACTTAACTCGGTACATTTGTGGTTTGTAATTCATTTGATTTCCTTTTGTATTAACAAATGTTCAACACTTTCCTTACCTGACAATCATATTACTTTTAAGTCAACATATGTAAGTGCTAATGTACAAACGACAATATTTTTAAAATGAAAATCACATTCAAGTTATATGATTTAATTAATAACCTGCGGCTGAAAAATAATTATGACTATCAGTTATGTTATTTATATATAACCTACATATATAATGTATATTAATGTACACTCATGAGTGTTAAATTTTAAATTATTACTTATGTAATTCGTTCACATACTTCATGTTCCATTTTTATCAGGCAAAATATGTATTGGAAGAGCAACAGATTTTCATCAGTATTTCAGAAGAAACGGTAGGTGAATTGATTGCAGAGTTGGCTAGCAAAGAATACAACCTCCAAATTGAAAATTTACAATTATATCTGTTAAAAACGGTAATTTAAAAAGTAACTGAAATGGATTTAGCTGAAGGATTGATCTAAATTTCTACAACTCATTGTTAACAGTTAACGACAATCTGGGTTATGATTTAAATAAGAGGCTTTTGTTTGAATTCTCGCCTTTCATTGCAGTTATCATTTCTCGGGTCTTACAGTCTGAATAGGGCAAGAACACACTTCTTTTTACTTTTAGGATTCCTCTTGACTACTTAATATCTAAATAATATCGAAGTGTATGAATTACAAAAATTGAGCCGTTCTAATTCGGTGACAGTTCATGTCTACGAAATGAAAAAAATATATGAAAGGTTACAATCTGATTGTAATAAATAACTGTTTGTCGCATTTTGATGAATGGCCTACCACTTAGAACAGTCTTTCTGATAAGATAAGACTGTGAACTAAAATACTGATTTAATTAGTTGCTTTTCAGGTACAGATGGTTATAATGATGGCTATTTTTTGATAGTAATGAACAAAACAGGACTTTACCAATTTCATAATCCAATGGATAGTGATTTAAATTTTTAAGCCATTGACTGACTGTGCAGAATCTGTTATTATAAAGTATATGCATATTCCCCTACATAGTATAATCATAACAGATAAATGTTCGTTGTGCATCCAGGGGAATTTATTTTCTCTATATTCAACAAAAGTAAATGGTAAAGGCATAAAATTCAGTTAACTCTACGCATATATTAGTATCAAAGAAGTGAAGTTCAGTGTAGTTTGCACCATTCCAACTACACTCATCATGACTACTGACAGTTGTCTTAAGCTACTAAATTCTATTACATTCAGTTGATTTTTCTAAAAGATGCCTTATTCCGAAGTAATCATCATCACCACTTATAAATGCAGTTCAGTAAAGCGAATTTTTTTTAATTATTACAAACCAAACTATAGAAAATTATGAGTAGTGTGGTGTCGTTGACAGATCAAGCAGTTTCAAAATATAACAAGAATTTCTAGGAGAATTTAGCGGCAGTAAAACTGTCATATGTGTGGAAAAAGCTGATAACAGTATCAAAAGAAAGTTGGGAAGCAATAACAGTTATCCTCAAAATAGTAATTGATCCTTTTTTAATAAATAACTTCCTATCCATCATTGCTAAGTTAATAGAATTTACGCATTTTGAGGTTTTTCTCTCAGCAATATTTTCGAATCTTTTTAAATCACCCATTAAAAGTAAATTATTTTTATTAGTCTTTCACTTAAATAAAAAATAAACAAACTGTAGAGTTAAATGCACTTTACACGAAGTCTTTAATATTATTTTTACACTTATCTGAACTCGACAAGAAGGTTTTCTCTATAGTGACCAGGAGGCTATTTTCTTTCGTATATTTAAATCTTTATCTTTTAGGTTAACAGTTACGTTTAATTTTTTTGGGTTTTATTTAGAGAAGCTTAAATGGTTGAAGAATAAACGCCTCAGAGAAATGCATATTGATAATACTACTACTACTAATAATAATAATAAAATAGTTCTCTTCTCGGTTTCAAAGACAGGGAAAGGCACGGTAGAAGAAAATCTGTTCTTGGGATATCAGAGGTAGAAAAATAAGCAGTCGACCTTATCGTCGCCTACATTGTATAGTGTTTTTGATATGATTAGACTTACATTAGACATTAAAAGGATCTACTGCGGTTTAATATTTTCATTTTTATCGTCAGCTATTAGGTTTCTTTGGTGTATACGTTTGATTGACCTTGGTTAAAGCACATTAACATTTCTAGTTACTTTCAAAATAATATCACAAAATGGTATGTTATAGTTGCAGGATATACGAACTAGTATTTTTAAGTTATCCACTGACTGAAAAAACAACTAACCTTTAAAATTAAACATATAGCAGTATCTTTTGTAGATTGATGGTATAGCGAGAAAGAACCCTGGTGAAGTATTAGCGTCTATGGCTGTTGATGCACTATTACCCATTGCAGTTCCTGGTCCGATTACCGGAACGTATACTAGCAATCCAATTGAAGAAAATACATTAAAAAGTTGGTGAACAATTCTTTTAATTTAATAAATATATATATAATTAATACATATATAATTAAAGCTTTTAGTATATTTCACTGTTATTTAGTATCTCCAACCTCAGCTGCACGCCCTATAATAAGAAATCTAACAGCATATATGTTAAGCAGATAAATGAGTAGCAAACTGTGAGAACTTAAGGTCAGAATCTTTCTGTAATTCCATACTAATTTGTTTAATAGGTATATCACACAGCGAAACAGTATTATTAACTGGATGACGTTTCAAACAAAATTTATTGTTCATAATCATATCAATTATAATCACACGACTTCGAAACTTGAGTTATATAGTTTTCTTTGTCCTCTCCTATTTGTCGTAGGGGTAGTAGAATTTTCCAGATATCTGGGACAGGTGTTGAATCATTCCTATTACACGTGTTTGCAGTTGATTCGACAAACAAAGCTTCCGTTATCAATCTCTCCCTCCACCCTGTTACATTAGATTTTAAAACTGTCATCTTATCTCATCCATCCCATTGTACGGTTGTCTGTAATTGCATGTGGTGAGTGCTATAGCTGAACTATTCTCTAGATTTCTTATCTTATTCGGGTCAACCAATCTAGATTTTGCTAGGTTTTTATGCTCGGCTAGTCTGACTGCGCCTGTTCTACTACTTTGACCTATGTATTTGACCTGACAATCATTCCAGCAGGGTATTAGATGAACTAAATTGTTTTGTTTTAAAGGCTCCACAGGATCCTTTAAACGACAAAGCTTGTTTCTAATTCAGTTTGTGGGTTTGAATGCCAGCCACTTTCATTCCTGCCTTGTTAAGAATTCTGCGTGAGGTGGTTTCCGAGGTTCCTTTCTTGTATGGAATTACTAGTGATGATTTAGATTCCTAATTGTTAGTGTTGTCATTATCTTGCGCATGTTTGACATGCCTGTCTTAAGGTGTTTTAAGAATAACAAGGATATAGTAATCAGAAAGTCAGACAAAAGCAAAGCAACAGTAATATTAGACAAATCAGGACCATATGAGGAAGTAATACATCAACAGACACAGTTATGAATAAAGTTAAGAAATCCACAGCGGACCTTATACGCCGAATGAAGCGGTTTTCAGGTGAGTCTAAGTAGTTTAATTTAATGCTCAAAACTAATAACCCCAGTAGGATGGATGGTGTTGTTAAAGTTCATAAGTCAGGATACCCTATTAGACCTACAGTTGAATTTAGAAATTCACCTACTTATGAATTATCTAAATATTTAGCGATGCTATTAAATCCCCTTAAAAGCCACTCGAAATCTAGACTAACAAATTCTCATGAACTAAAACATAGATTAGATAATTTAAAATTAGATTATGAAGAAAAAATGGTTAGTTCTAACATTGTCAGTTTACATACACATATACCAATTAATATGGCTATAGAGGCAGTCAGAAACGAACTCATTTCTGACCAAGAACTTGAACCTAGGATGGAAGTGCCACTTGAGGACATAATGCTGGGGGTGCAGCTATGCCTGACTTCCACAGTATTTAAATTCCAAGGGAAAATATACAAACAAACTGAGGGAGTTGCCATGGGGTCACTAGTATCCCCGGTTGTAGCAGATATATTCATGGATAGGTGGGGAAACATAGCAATTGAAACGTTCACCCCCACCCCAAATGTATGGTCGAGGTATGTAGATGACACATTCACTGTACTTAGAACACAAGATATAGATAGATTTTTCGAACACATCAACTCAAAGGTGGAGGCAATTCAATTCACTTATGAATTGGAAAGTCAGGAAGGGGAACTTCCAATGTTAGATTGCAGTGTAAAAAGGAAAGAAGATGGGAAGTTAAACACTAGTGTTTACAGGAAACCCACACATTCAAACAGATATTTGGACTTCCAATCATCCCATCCTATGTCAGTAAAAATAGGATTGGTGAAATGTTTAAGTGACAGAGCACAAAAACTAAGTAGTACCAAAGAAAATCTAAGACAGGAAGTGATACATATAAGAGAAGCCTTGAAACTTAATAATTACCCTGATAAATTAGTCAGGAAATATGTAGGGAAATGTAAAAATAAAATAAATAATGATAGTAGTGATAGTGATAATAATGATAATAATATTAATGACGACATGCAAGTCAAATGTGCGCAAGACAACACCAACAATAAGGAATCTAAATCATCAGTAGTAATTCCATACAAGGAAGGAACCTCGGAAACCACTTACGCAGAATTCTTAACAAGGCAGGAATAAAAGTGGCTGGCATTCAAACCCACAAACTCAATTAGAAACAAGCTTTGTCGGTTAAAGGATCCTGTGGAGCCTTTAAAACAAAACAATTTAGTTTATCTAATACCCTGCTGGAATGATTGTCAGGTCAAATACATAGGTCAAAGTAGTAGAACAGGCGCAGTCAGACTAGCCGAGCATAAAAACCTAGCAAAATCTAGATTGGTTGACCCGAATAAGATAAGAAATCTAGAGAATAGTTCAGCTATAGCACTCACCACATGCAATTACACACAACCATACAATAGGATGGATGAGATAAGATGACAGTTTTAAAATCTAATGTAACAGGGTGGAGGGAGAGATTGATAACGGAAGCTTTGTTTATCGAATCAACTGCAAACACGTGTAATAGGAATGATTCAACACCTGTCCCAGATATCTGGAAAATTCTACTACCCCTACGACAAATAGGAGAGGACAAAGAAAACTATAAAACTCAAGTTTCGAAGTCGTGTGATTATAATTGATATGATTATGAACAATAAATTTTGTTTGAAACGTCATCCAGTAAATAATACTGTTTCGCTGTGTGATACACCTAATAAACAAATTAGTATGGAATTGCTGTCTATCACAATGCCTAAATCTTACACATATATGAATTTTTCGTTCATCTAATATTTGAAAAATAGCTCCTTCATTTCAAGGGTTTTCGGTGCATTCTACTCAAATTGCCACATTGGGCTGAAATAATAATTTTAATCCTTTGAAGGAAATTTAACAATGATAAAAATCATTTCATTCGAAAGAATAATAATTATACTGATTGGAATTATCAGCACTGTTCACATTTCAGCAGTCTGTCTGATTTAACTAATAAATGAATTGATAAAAATAATAAAACTCAGAATTAACCGAAGAATATTGTATGCAGTAATAATGCTAGGAATAAGTTGCTGTGTACTTGGAGATTGTATTTTTGCTTGAAAACCGTCGCTTCATAAAACCCCCGTGATAAATATGCTATGGATGAATTTTTATATTTAGGCGTACGAGCATGAATTCTTATGGCATTTCTTATGGTTTTACCCGAAGAGGTACAAGTGTGGTGAAAGATGGTCGCTAGCCAAATTGGTTGACAGTAATTGAGGTCAAAGGTCAAGGTTGTCAGGCGGATATAGTTAACATGTAGTTGAACTGACACAGCCACAAGATATGCAAGGTTAACCTTGCGAGAGAAACAACCAATCAACAGGCTGTATTTTCTACTAACATTGACCTACAATAATGTACATAAAAATCTATAAATACGTGTTGATTTTCCTAAATAAACGATCTGTTGCCTGGCCCTTGTCTTCTGTTGTTACACAAGGAGTAAGTTGCAAATAAAAAAGATGTTCAATATCTGAGAATATGACTTTAGGCGACTTCTTAGAAGGATTTAAATATTTATCATCAACAATATTAGTTATTAGTTATTTATCATCTTATCTATCCACTTCTTATCGTTATTACGCAACTCCTTTTTCACAGCATCTAAGCCTTTGTTTTTTGCTTATACTTGAACTTTCTGGGTATGAGCTATACAAGTGTAACTTCTGACCACTGTTAATTAAGTTTAGAGTCTCTTGTGGAATAATGTCGTACCATATTTACAAGTAGATAAAATCAATAATTTCTCTCGGCTGTACACAGTTGACAGGATACCGACGAAATAAACGATGGTACCACCTAGTGTTGCACAAAACACCACTTTTGCTTTATTCAGATTCATAAAGGGAAATAAATGTTTGAAATAATGTCAACTAGGCAGATAAATGGCACACCCCTAACCCACAGGGGTAGGGTTGGCTTTCAACGAATGAAGTTATCATGTGTTGTTTTGAGGACAGTTGTCTGGTCATTGATATGTGCATATCAGCACAGATCGCTTTCATCTACAGTACAATTTAGTGGTAAATTTTGTGTGTATATGTGAGGTTTTTAGAACTCATAAAGCTAGTTCACTGTATCCTGACAATGTCAGTGAAGTATTTGACAAACTATTGCAAAGTGATAAATTACTACTTTTTTTCTACCTTTTTCCCTAGGAAATATGTTGGTTAAAGGTAGACAACGTCGGTCTTTGCTGTAGTCGCTGTCAGGAAGCATAGAAACATTTGACTGAAAAAGAATTGTCGAATTAACGGTTATAAGTTAATTAGTTTTTTTTGCCCTACCTCAAAAAATTTTTCTCCACGATCTCTAAAGCTTGCATCGGAATATCTTGCAACTGACAACAGTTCGGAGTCTACAGGGTAATATAATTTCTTTGAAGAGATTATTACACAGATGAGTTGTATATTATGTCTTAAGACTGGTTGAATTATCATTTTTATGGTAAAAGATTCACACTTGGTGTTATTTAGTAGATAGTGACTTGCAGTGTTTGGTACTCGTCTTCTGGATATACTTTTGATCCCTAGCTAGTGATGATATGCCTACAGAGACTCCAACCCGGGACCAATCGTTTCAAACAAGATCCACCTTTGGCATGGACATAAACTCATAGAAAAAAGAATTTTCTCAAACCAAACTATAGAAAATTTTCTCAGTGGAAATTTTTATTTTATGTTTCACTGGGAGTTATTAATTTAATTAAAAGGAAAACAGTTAGTACTTCCCTAAGGCAAATATTAGACTTCATAAGTTTTTAAAATAATGCTTTGACTTTCGTGACAATTGCAATTTAACTCTTCTTAATAATTATTAGGTATGGCATTCGATGTACTATTGGATAAAGTCTGTTCAATTAGTGAGGCTGATAAAACTGTGAATGAATGTCTTCCTCTAGCAACTTATCATGAAATGATAAATGAAGACATAGTGAGTCAGTTTTATGTAAATAATACTAGTGTGTACTGGAATTTAAAATGATCACGTTTATTAACTTTAACGATGTCTGATTATGACTGATAATTTGTTTCGTACAATTACAGTTATTTTTAAACATATTTTTTTTTAAAGAATATAAGTATGTTGTGGAGTTAGAAGATAATGACAGTCTTCAAGCACCTCACCAGATCTAAATATCTGAGACGCCTAATTATGACTATCAGACTAAAAGGAAACTGTATCATTCAGTGATCACTTAGATTTTTTGAGTTACTGACTTCAATGTCAACGTCACTTAGTGTTAAGCATGATGAAAGCCTTCTTATGAGTGTAATGTTATAACCTGTTCAAACACTAATGTTCATTTCTCGTTGAAGTTAAGTCAGTTGATGTACGATTTAAAAAAATATCATTTTATTTTTAAATTGTGAACTGAAGCAATCTATTAACCTTTTTACCATATTAAACTGTCAACTTCACAACTTATAATGGCGTAGTTTAGTGTTTTCGAATATAATTCGCTTGTTGAACTTTGTCGTGATAAACATGATTGTCATTCTCTTCCGTTTCGCCAATCACATACCTAGTGCTTTCTGTATTGGTGTTTGCGTATTCGTTTTGTCATTTACTGTTCAGACGAATACACCATTCCTACTCTGCAATCATACTTAACAAATCATCTCAGATTTTCAGGAAATTTCGTTTACTTCTGGAAGAAACCTACCCTGTTTTTAGGGAAGTCTGTCAAAATAAGTAGTAAGATATTTCTACAATGATTTGGTAATACTTTTATTTACTTACTTTAATACACAACATATTACACAAGTATTAGTAACCGACGTCTTATGCGCGTTGCATATAAGGTGGTTCTCGTGGTACGAAACATCACTAAAGATTCGATGATGCCTGAAACGATAAATGCTGATTTCAAGTTTGATTTGAAACACTACCACACAGTTGGATGTCAACAAATTCAGTTAATGGGTATCAAGTTGAACAAAATACTTATCCTGAATTCTATTTCTAATCGTTGTCAAGAAAAAAACAACAAGGACACTGAAGAGCAGTGAATCTTTTTTACTTTACAGATATACATTAATTGTAAATCTCTGATGAAATGTCAGAGAAAAATGAGGCCTCTGAAAAAATAATCAAGCATTTAATGACCAATCCATATTGTTATAGGATTTACTGTGATTCTTTCTAAGTTGGAAAGCAAACTAGCCATATATCTTTCACTTTTCTTACATATTTTAATTAGCCTAAATTAAAGATACAATAAAATTTGTTTCAGTCTTTTTCATTCCTTCTGTTCCAAGTGGAACATTGGGCTTCAAGCCATGAAGTTTCAGTGGTAGTGGTGTTATTTTTGCAGGATGAAGTTGCTAGCCTCCCGTTCAACCTCCTCTCTTTTTCGAGATTACCTTCGACTTGTGAACTAGGAATAAGTCGGCTGGCAATTTGACTTGAACGTCCTACTTGGCTTTGAAACATTCTTACGTGGAACCACAGACTCACATATAGGCACATAAACAGACACTGAGGAAAGACTGTTTGTAATCGATTAACATGGTTTTGCAAAATAACGCAATACAGACTTTCTTATTTTCCTGTTAGTTTTTCATGGAAACACTCAAAATGCTGAAGTACCATATAGACAATGATCTTGCAGATATTGATCTTATGGAGACAGAAGAAAGATCCGTATCGGAAAGGTAATAAAGTTTCGCAACTTGTATAATTATAAATACTTACTTTGGGTGAATTTAATAAACAGTATGAATCAGTGATAACTTCTAAATATTAGTATGTATATTTGTCTCTTCGATTATGTTTCCTGGTGTCCTCGTATACCTTGGGATTTATGTATACCTATTTGTTATTTTCTTAGGTGGTTTCTCAGCCTTAGCGATTTCTGTAATAAGTGTGCCTGAGTGGTTTTCTTCCCCTGTGTTGACAATGATTCCACTATAATGAAGCACCTAATTATCGAATTATCAGTATGTCTAACTGGAAGAAATAAGTAAACTGAATTCTTCGCTATGCAGATGGCAACAAGTTTTTCAGGTGTTTTTAATTGTCTATAAACAATTGAAGTATAAACTCTTTCTGAAGAGATGTCACATTACGATAAAAATGTTCTTGAATTTTTATATTTGGAGTTGGTCGCTGTTTGTGCTTAATATATCTTTTATGTCTTGACATTTCACTTTTTGTAGTTGTATTAGTGTAGTATTTTGTATGTATGGCTGCATGCACATAAAGGTAGGAGTTATACAGTGAGTATCAACTGTCTTTTTAACGCGCTGCAGGGAATCTAACGTCAGTTAACACAATTACATATTTGTAGTTTACTTATATAAACATACGTTAATATGATTCCTAGTTTTACTTTATTCATTTTGTCCAGGTTTATAGAAAATATTGAGTATATAATATTTCGAAAGTCTGAAAAGAGAAAACGCTGATATACATTTCAATGCAGAATTCTTTTTTCAACTACTTATCAGAATTATCTGATGAGTGCCTCTATTTATTGGATCATAAAAAGTGGATTTCTCAACATGTAATGAATAATGTACTAATATGATATTGTTCACCAAAATATTTCGCTATTTTATCTTGTTTAAAGACTGTATAAAATAAGTTAATTAATACAACTTTGTTCACCCTGTAAACAAATAAAGCGGATCATGACAGTGATGACCACTTCATTTTAGTTCTAATTAATTTGATCTACTCTGCAAGTAATTAATACATATATATATATATCAGAAAGTATTTATTATTCATATTGAGGTTTGTATGCATGTACTGCGACAGATGCTTTTCTATGATCATGAAATCTAGGTGCACAGCTTACTGCTAACTGACTAATTCCAACATCATTTTCAGATTATGACGAATAGTAGCACCAAGTGACTTAGCTTTGCATTCAGACTGTATATCAAATTGGCAGATATGTCAAAATCCTTAGGAAAAGGTAGATTAGTTATTATCCGGCTAGTTTAATTACATCTCCATATTGTGTAAAATAGCATGCCTTCTCCATAAATGTCGTAGTTTGGATAAACCTCGTCACATAACACTACAGCCAATAATTTTTAAAATTAAAGACAGGATCAATTCTGAATACTGTTAATCTCTCAGGTGTATGGAAGAAGACCTCTACAAATAGATTTCTGAGACCACTTACTACACATTTCTCGAGACGACAATCGGAAGCTGAGTTTCATTATACTAACGTGGTAATGCTGATAGAGAGAGGAGTGTAGGGGACTTATCTTAGAGTTCACTAGTATTACAAAATATGAGAAATAAAATTCAAGTCAATGGAATGTTAAGTAACAGTATATTACCAAAAATGCAACGACACGTTATATCAACAAAAGGGTTACTTGGAAATAAAGTTTAAGTCCTCTGCTACAAATTATTTATATAACCCACGGAGACGTTAATTGTTTGGACGGAGTAGGTTGCAGCTGCTGTGTCCCGGTTGTAGAATTGTCTTCGGTTGAGCGTAGTGGACTTCTACAATAAATCCGAAAGATACAACACGGTGAGAGCTGAGCTAGTAAGCCGAAGAAACCAAGGAGAAGACGAAGTCTCCAACAGCAGAGTGTATTTTCCAATCGTACACGGAAGCCAAGTGTATTTCAACAAGAAGCGTTTTAAACAAAAATTATGTACAATATGTCTAATTTCTACAAATAACCAAAAAGTGTACAATCACATTGTTACGCACTCCACAGGGCTCCCCCCCTAGAGGTCCGGAGAGACCATCGGAAAATGTTAAGTAAAGCTGTGAAGTAAATAATAATAGTAATAACAATTTTTGGATAAAAATAGGGATATATTACAACATGCATAAACGCAAGAAGTTATGTGAGTCATGTAAAGTCTGAAAGCATATACAATTAGTTCAGCAATAAAAAAATTAAAACAGAAAGTCATGTCTTTTAAATTTGCACTAACCAGGAGCATAGATTTTCAATGTATAACGAAAAAAAATATGGATTAAAGATCAACAGTTTCTGAAAAGGACAATGCCTGTTTTATAGGTGAGGTACACATAAGTAAATAATAGTGATAGTAACATCAAAGTTTACAACGAAATACTAACGGTCATGATAATAATGTCTAAACGAAAAAGATAATAATAATTTTTAATATTTTTTTATTAGTCCTCAAAATGAACGTAGCGGGCCGGTTTACTGATTTGCCGACCATTACGTGTTTGATATGGAGGGATGATAAGACTTGGTGCCGGTGGAGTGGAATGTGATGTTTGATTATTTGATTGTGCAGTTGCCGATGTAGCTTCAAAATCGTTGTCTGTGTATGCGGGTTTGATGCGATCGATGGAAACAGTCTCTCGTTTTCCATTCTTGTTCACCGTAAAGTGTTTTTCTGAACGTTTAATAACTTGAAATGGTCCTTCGTATGGAGGTTGTAATCCTTTTCTGATGGCGTTGACTCGAACAAACACGAATTTGCAAGTTTGTAGATGTTTGTTGATCTGATCTCGTCGGGGAGATTGTCGAGGTGCTGTTGGTTGAAGCTGAAGCATTTGTCTAGTTAATCGGTTGGTGAAGTCGGTAATGTTCACGTCTGTGGAATCGGCTGAGGGGACTAGCTGTCCAGGCAAGGTTAGGTTGGTGCCATAAACAAGTTGAGCCGGTGTACATCCTAAATCTTCTTTGATAGTAGATCGGATACCAAGTAAAATTAAAGGTAAGTATTCACTCCACTTAGATGTATCATTTTGCGCCATCAGGGAGCTTTTCAGTTGTCTGTGGAATCTTTCCACTAGACCATTCGCTGCCGGATGATAGGCTGTCGTGGAGATATGTTTCACCCCCAGGAATCTCGTCAGTTCGCGAAAGAGTGTCGATTGGAATTGAGGACCACGGTCGGATGTAATAGTAGTTGGTACACTGTAGTTTGACACCCAACGGTCGAGAAAAACCAAAGCAGATATGTCGTTTAAGGGGCATGCAATAGCCCAACGAGTAAATCTATCAATCGCTGTCAGGATATGTGTATATCCTCTTGATGTTGGTAATGGTCCCACGATATCTATATGGATATGCTGAAATCTCCTTTCGGGTTATTCAAACGGCTTCGGGGTCGTAATAGTGTGACGGTGTACTTTGGAGCATTGGCATTGGAGACATTCGCGTGCCCATCTCCGAATGTCAGAGTTCATTTTAGGCCACACGAAGCGTTCGCTGATGAGTCTGACTGTGGCGCGTACTCCAGGGTGAGAAAGAGAATGTAAATGGTCGAACAATGCTTTTCGGCAACTGAGAGGGACAAATGGACGGTTAGTGCCGGTAGATACATAGCAGACTATGGTTGCATCTGATAGGGGGATAGGCACCTCTTTGAGCTGTAAGGAAGAGTTTCTGCGGCAGGTTTGGAGTTCAACGTCGTCTCTCTGTAATTGAGCCATGCGATCCAGACTGATATCTACCGCGGTTTGAAGCTGGTTTATTTCACTTCTTGAAAAGGAATCGGCTACCACGTTCGCATCCCCTTTGATGCACTGGATGTCGGTTGAAAATTGGGAGATATAATCCAACTGTCTGGCTTCTCTAAGGGAGTGTTTATCGAGTGAAGTAGTGAAAGCATAGCACAGGGGCTTGTGGTCAGTAAAAATAGTGAAGTGCCGTGTTATGTATGTGAATATGAGGACCTTGTAGACTACGAGCGAATCTAACTAATGCGCTGGCTAATCTGTCTTAATCGCACGTCAACAACAACAATAATACCGCCGGGCACGCAAGACAAATAAAAGAGAAGACTGGACGTTGATATGAGAGCTTTTACTGTCTCAAACAACAGTCGAAAATGTTAAACAAAACTCCGTATTTATACAATTGGAAAAATCAGTGTCACATTTTAAAAATATTAACAAACCCTGGGAATTCAGTAATTTAAATCGATAATCACGCAGATGCGTGAAATCAATGATTATGCTAGTGTGGGAAATAAATACTGAATATTAATGATTCACCTGTGTATATATTGTGCCGGCCCTGTAGTAAGTAACTAAAATGCTTCACTGCAAGATATATGGCCAACAATTCTCTCCCAAAAGTGCTATAACGTGTCTGAGCCGGTTCCAGCTTCTTAGAAAAGAATGCGAGTGGGGTGACTTCACCTTTCATCTTCTGTTGTAATACTGCCCCTACAGCTACTTGGGAGGCATCTGTGCACAAAATAAGCGATGCTTCGGGGTTGATATGAGATAGCATAGTGACTTTGGATGAGGCGTCTTTTGCGTTGCAAAAAGATTCATGGGCTTCAGCTGACCACTGAAACTTTTAGGATCATTTTTAAGGAGGTCGGTTAACGGCTGGACGATGGAGGCACACGAAGGAATGAAACGCCGATAGAAATTAAACATCCCCAAAAAACGTCTGACCTCCTTAAGTGAATCTGGTACGGGGAAGTTTTTGATGGACTCTACCTTTTCCTCCGTAGGCGTAATACCATTCGCAGTTATGTGGTGTCCCGGAAACTGTATAGAGGGGACAACGAATATGCACTTTTTGGGGTTAATGACTACTCCATATTGCTCAAATCGTTGAAATAAGATGGTGACGTGATCAGTATGTTCTTCAGGCGACGAGCTGGCAATTAAAACGTCATCGATATATACAAATACAAAGTCCAAACCTTGTGTGACCTGATCCATGAACCGTTGGAAGGATTGTGCTGCGTTCTTTAGGCCAAATGGCATTCGGAGAAATTCGAACAGGCCGAAAGGTGTGATGATGGCCGTTTTTTCGATATCTTCTTGGGCAACTGGTATTTGGTGATAGGCCCTGACCAGGTCTACCTTAGAAAATATGGTTTTTCCGTGTAGTGTCAGGGAGAAGTCATGAAGATGAGGAATAGGATAACGGTCGGGAACGGTGGCACTGCTTAAGTGTTGGTAATCCCCGCACGGCCTCCAATCATGATCAGCCTTAGGCATCATGTGTAAGGGTGAAGACCAAGGGCTATTGGAGGGTCTGATGATGCCGAGCTGCATCATGTGTTCAAAATCTGCCTTGGCTGCTGCTAATTTTTCCGGGGGTAATCTACGAGGGCGAGCACGAACTGGTTGACCCGTAGTAACTATCTTTTGAGTCACTGTATGATGGACGTCCTCGACGTTGTACGACGGCTTAAGAATTTTAGGGAAACGATGAAGCAGGGCGGAAAAAGTGCAATCCGCTGGTCTTTCAATACTGATATTGTAGACAGAATAGTTGTAGATAATTCCGTGGATCTGTAGTTGGGTGTTGTTATCAATCAGCTCTTTATTTTTGACGTCAACTAACAGGTTGAAATTAGTTAAGAAATCAGCTCCTAGGATGGCGTGACTGACGTCGGCTACTATGAAAATCCATGTAAACCGCCGACGCAAACCTAGATCCAGTATAAGGGATTGCTCTCCATACGTCGGTATAGTTGT